CCAATCCCTTGGGTTTATGGATAAATTAAAATATAAATGTGAAAGTGACCGCAGCGGTTCAGAAGAGGTGAGGGAAAAGAAGAACTGCCGACAAGAAAGTGAAAAAGATTCTCTAGTCGGTGAAGCTTCTTTAATAATAAGTCCATGTATTTTGCGGCCAATAACTCTCAGTAAGACAAAAATAACGCCAGAACCACCAGCAAACTGGCCATCATGCGATGTAACACTGAACAAAAGCAACTGGAACAGCTGATGGCTGCATAGTTGGAGAACGATGTTATGAACTACAGCTAATCAAAGATTTCAATTATTACTGGATAACTTAAGTCTTCTTAAGCCAAAAAAGGCAGGATTAGAAAAACGTCCAAAATCCTAATCCACGCTCTGTTTTCAGGGAAATAACGGCTTAACTATTTGGTAATGGCATTATAATTCGATATTGGTCGTCACGGTTCTTTCGCCATAATTCCTCCTAAAATCCATAACCTGTTTCTCCTGTTTACCTCCATTCCGAACAAATGGATACAAACAACTTGGATCGAAAAGAGAAACAGTGGTGTTGCGGAACTGAGACAGTATCCATAATTTGCAATCTGATGGGACTAGTTCTTTTACTTGGTGTCTTATCTCGCTTTGAAGAAAGATGTTTCTTGTTTAAGACGGATCTCCCTTACTAAAACGATTAGTTTTTCAATTCTCATCCTTACCTGCAAAAAAAAAAAATTCTTTTTTTAGCATTTTCCAATTTTTCTCCGTTTTTTCTTACAATTTTATGTCTTTTACTGTATCATGTCCTAGAATCTTTCTGACTGGAATCTCAATCTTTTAGATTTCCTCTTTGGTTTTCTTCTACTTGAAAAAGTAACTACGAAGACCTCCAGGACAATCGGCACGGGTATCTTTTGTTAATGACCCTGGTGAGATGTCTCAAAACGCCCAGTGCATCTGTGTCAAGTCTGCTACACCTCCAGTCAACCACTTGGCGATGTATGTGCATTACCCCTCCGGAAGCCGCCCGAATGGTCGTTTACTTTCTTGCGGGTACCACCCAATGATGTACAGTGTCCGTCGGTTGTAAGCATGGTGAATAGCATGCCATCCCCACCGGCGTAGTTGCAAAAAGTAACCAGTACAGGAAAAGAAGCGATTCAATGAGGCAATTATAATCGATGTGGTGAGGATACTCGTGGATGGCACATACAAAAGTGCTTCAAATGATTGAGAGGCTCAATTACCATTGACATACAACAGATAAAACGAGGAAGGCCTGCGAAAAGGGCGGATAAGCGGGGTGATGGCGTAAATACGAGGATGGGATATTTAAGGAAAAAAGGTCGTAAGTGGTGAAAGAGAGGCGGAAATTTGGGGATAAGACCAAGAAAAAATATGCGAAGGGGACGAGTAAGAAAAAGGAGGAAAGGAGAGAGACGGAAACGAAAAAACCCTTAATGAGGGCTAGGAAACTGTTGCTAGAAAAGACGAATAACAGGAAGGAGGAATGGCAGGGAAAATGAAAATCCAAAAAAGAAGAGTAAAATGAAGGGTACTGGCAAAATCTGATTTAAAATTGCAAAGATGGAAAAGATGAGCAATCCAAGAAAAGAGAATGGTAAAAGAGAAGCAGGAAAGGGAATAGAAATCTATGATGAAGGAGGAGAAACGAGAGGCAAAAACATCGAATTTTGAGTTAAAATGAGTGAAAAAGTGCAAATAAGTGTTGCTCGAAACTCACTCAGCCGAGTATTCTCAGAGGAACTCAATAGCAACAGCAATACGAAGGACGATGAATTAATTGGAATAAATCCGTCGGCTCATTAATTCTTCGACAAGCCGTACTACTATGGGCAACGGAAAGCACCACCGTCGCTCCAAATGGAAAATTTTCCCCACGGCAACAATAACAAGTTACATATTGAATTCGAAACATTCATGACTAATTCCAGAAATCACTCCGGGAACTGCAGACGGGTAGCTTCAGAACGCAGCTACTCAACAATTGCCGGGGTTAAAGCATCATCGGGGTTAAAGCACCTCAGTAACATCGAGGTTGAGGAATTTCAGCAACATCGAGGTTCGGATAAAAGAAACTTTAGAAATCTTAGCGATTTTCAGAAATCCGATGAATAAGAAAGAAAACCGAAAATATTAAACAAAAAAAAAAGTGAAAAAATCCTCTTACGAAGTCATTTTTTACGGGTCTTATGAAGTCATTTTTTTAGCTCATCATGCAAACTGCCCTTGAATTTAAGCATCAAAGCTGATTAAGCCAAAAGATAGACGATTCGGATTTTTGAGGATTTATATCCAGACATCTTGTGAAGTAAACTATACACTAGAGTAGTTAAAAAACATAATCAGCAGCAAAAATCAGTTGTCTACAAGAAAGGTGATAAATCATTTAAAAGAAACACCTACGGGAACAACTGTTTTTTACACCTACGGCGAAGAGAGGATAAAAAGAACAAACGATTTTCAAAAAATCCTCATAGACCCGTCCGGCATTATAAACTATGCACTTTACACCGCGGCAATTCTCGACTGTACAACAAAATCTCGCCTGGTCTTTCTATGATTCACAATCATGAACGTGAACATCTCGTCTGGGTGAAGTTGCCCGCTTTACTGGGAATAACACTCACTGGTACGCGACGTCCATCGGCTGTCAGCAACGCGAACAAGCATATTTCGGAATAATGGATTTTTACAACGTGAATTCGTGTTAAAAAAGACAAAGAAAAATATCCAGGACAACTATGGATTTGAAACCATTGAAAGCACCAGACAGCCCTCTCCGAAACTGAAAAATCCATTCAGAGTCCCTACTACGAGGGAGTAAATCAAAAGAAAGGAATGAGGTGCCACTCGCAGCTGGTACCTCCTCCTCCTCCTTCCTTCTCACCTCACTACCCTCCTCCCTCCACCATTCATTCCTCAAGCGGTAACAACTGTTTGAGTGAAATTTTAAAATGGAAGAATGAAAAATTAACACTTAAGCTGCCAGGATGGAAGGGAGGGAGGACGCATTTTGACATCAAAGAAAGCGAAACCAATAAAGGCCGCTTTGAGCATCCTTGTAGCTTTTCCTCGTTTTCAGAATGATTTATTTCCACCATAGGTTGGCAAGAAGTTTACGCCAAATTCTTTCAGAAAACACAGCAATCACTTCTCCCCAGACCCTGCCACTCTTCTCGTTTACCCGCAAAGAACAGTGGTACCAACTGCTGCTAACTTACAAAAGAATCCGAAAAACCAACTGTTACAAAAATTAATTTTCAAGTCACAGAATTAGCAAATTTACTGGAACTTAACCGGTAGAAAGAGTGACCGCCGGTCTGCTTTTGTAAAAGCTGACGTACGACTCGCTTCTGCCAAGACCGACAAACAGATGAAAAATTAGCTTTGTAACGATCTGGTCAACAACAAGAAGATTACTTTGAGATCGAACTCTAACTCACTTCAGTTTACCGGAATACCAGTGCTAAAAAATAAAAATTTTGCTTCTTTACGAACAATTAGAGGAGGGAGCGAGCTTCAGACCTCGAACTGAGGCCAAATTTAATGAAAAATTGGAATTCTGTTAGTACTGAAATGATAAATTACGCCTCCGGAAAAACATGACTGCTTAAATGTGGCAGAAAACTCATCCACAAAAATTAAGCGTACTCTCAAACGATCCCCGCGTGTTTGACGCAAGTGAATTATGAGTTATCTAAAAAATATCGTCAATAAAAAAAGTGAAAAAGTAAGTATAGAAAACAATGTTATATTTAAAATACAAATTCGTAAAGTACAAGCTTTATGGAAATTTAGAACTTTTTAAAGTACAAACCTATGAAAATCAAAAAATTTTCAAGTATGGGATCGAGGAGAACAAATTCTAGCACGTGCATATCCGTAAATTTCTCATGTTAAACTCTGTCAACCTCTAGTCATTTTATGCTCAAAAACAGATGACAAAAAAAAATAAAATCTACGCAATATCCCTAAATACTTTCAACTACAAAGTGTTTTCAGCTATGCAAAAATTAACGAATGCAAAAAATACTGTATTCCTTGAGTACCACCTGG